TTCAGGAAAAATTCCAGAAAATCCTAAAAATAGAAAATTCAGAAAAAAATTAAAAAAAATTAAAAAAAATTCGGAAAATTCATAAAAAAAAAAAAGAAATTCAAAAAATTTCTAAAAAAAATCGAAAAAATCATAAAATTTTCAGAAAATTGATAAAAATTTGAAAATTCCGAATAATCCATAAAAAATTTCAAAATTTTGGAAATTCCAGAAAAACAAAAAGTAAAAAATAGCTCCCAGGAAAATAGATTTTCGAAAAAAATCAAAATTTTCAAAAATTCACATAATGATCCAAAAACATTGTGGCCAACATTTGCAAGTGAAATTAGAATTTTTAGAGGTGCCAAAATGGCATTTTTAGAAAATCCTTCGTTTATGGGTTTTTTACCCCCAAAAAACCCTAAACCCTAAAACAATACACATCATCGAATGAATAAGCCTTTAGGGCTTTACTAGGATTTGAGTGTTTAGAATTGATTTTCATTTTGAAGTCCAATTAGGATTGTTTTGTTTGATTGCAATTGATTGTGCTGCTTATATTGATTGATTGGATTCCCACGATTAGAATGGTTAGAATTAGTGGATAGACCTCGGAAACTCGTGTAACACATTAGACACATCATATCATTTTAGGTACCGAAAGGGCGTTGGGGATCTCGACTCGGGATCATTAGCGTAACCAAGTCCCCGTATTCAGAATCTCTAGTTCGCAGGTTTGTGGTATTTCCCCCATACCTCGATTAGGTTTCTAGTTAACCTACCAATAATGACTAGTGGCGACTCCAAATCAAAAATATATATTGAAAAGAAAGATAAAAATTACAATCCGCTATCACGTGAGGTATGGTCTGGGAGAGGCCCTCGTTTGTCTAGTGATGGGATGTCTGTGGGACATTTGAGCGAAATATCCGTATCGGACCCTAGTAGCTCATTCGAGGACAGTTTCTCCATTCGTGACAAATGGAAGTAACTCCTTAGCGTGCCAAAAAGCACGGCGCGACAAATATATGGAAGGCGAAGCCGTATGTCGGTGGGAAGGGACTAGACCCGCCCTTGGAGGCAAAGATGCGATTATTTCATGGAGAGACTTCACAAAGGCTTTCAACACTCAATTTTTTTTTTCTTTGAGTCATTCCATGAGAAAATGAGGAGCAATTTTGTAAATATAGCTCAAGGTAGCTTAACGGTTCTGGAGTATGCGGCTCGTTTTAATCAATTAAGTAGATTTGAGGAATTTTTCATGGCTAGTGATAAAGTAGAGCTAAAAACTTTTAGCAAGGGCTTCAACTCGACATCCGTACTATACTCACACCTTTTTTTATTGACAATGTACAAAGATGTTTTGGATCGAGCAATTAGGGTTGAACAAAACACTTTGGAGTGCGGGACATAGGGTGCTCCTCAACATAAGAGGCCCAAGTTCACAAATTTCCAAGAAAGCCACGCAAGTGGCAGCAACAAGCGAAGAGGTGTCAACTTGCATAAAAAAGGTTAAAGATCAAACTATTCAAGGCCCTTGTCTTGGGAAAAATTTGTCATTGCTATCGCAAAATACAAGAGTGTTCCTCGAACACGTCTCTCAAGCCAACTTTGAGAGGACGCAACCTTGCTTCAATACCAATTATAGGGTATATTGAGACACAATTCTAATACTACTTGTAGGGTATGGGGAAGTGTTGTGGTGGTAACACGAGAGAATTATAATAGACAACTCAAGGCACACTTGTCATACCAAACTGCAGTACAAGTATAACACTAAAAGATTATCTTGCACAGCTATTACAATTTATTTTCTCACACCATACTCAAAACACTCAAAGGAATATTTACTTATACAGAGACACTCTCAACTAATATGTTTATCTCTCACACTCTTAGAGGAGTAACTCTCTCTCAACTAATATGTTTGCCTCTATCTTTGAAGCTCACCTTTGCATCTGGTGACTTCCTCTATTCTTAAGCTCTCACTGCTGGAGGCTTTCCTGAAGCTCATACCTTTTGCTCTCAGCCTCTCTAGCAGTGCATGGCTTTCCGTGAAGCTCACCCTTGCTATGGTGGCTTGAGGCCCTCTCTGGCCTGAGGTTCTGTGGCCTGACTGTTTTGCTTTGCCAATAGCCTTATTTATGGGCTAAGATTTACTATTAAAATGGTGGCTCATCATTGCTTCTCTTGCGTTCACATGTGAAGACCAACTTGGACTTCTGTTTTTCTGCCGATTTCAACATGTGAACAAAGATTCAAGCTGGACTTTTGTCGTTTACGTTTTTTTTTTTTTAACAAAGTCGGATTTATTCAAGAAGCAATCCAATTCCAATACGGACTTTGCAAGCTGGCGCGTACTTCTTGGCCGCTAATGGAGAGATGTTGAATCTCCACCGGAGAATCCGTGGAAGCAAAGCTTAAAAGGGATTAGAATTTCTTTGTTGAAGAAGTTTCCTAGGAAAAATTACCAAAAAAGTCATAAACCTATTGTAATTATATCAATTCAGTTCTGAACTTTTTTTTGTGTCAATTCAGTCCGAAACCTTTTGGACTGTGTCAACTCAGTCCATTCGGCCAATTTTCGTCAACCGGCACTAACGTAGATGCCAGTTGTCCGGCCAATGCTAACACGCCAATTTTTTAATATATATTTATTTTTTTTATTTTTTTTTTCTTCATTCTTTTCTTTTTTTTTCCCCACAGTGGCCGGCGAGGAGCGCGGCCCTCGCCTGGCCTAGCCCAAATCTGGGCGAGGCTGGCAGCGGGTGAAGTTGGCCTCGCCAATAGTTAGCAAGGCCATGGCCGCCTTCACCCACGTCACCAAGGCTGTGGGGAGGCCGACTTCGCCAACGGCCAACAAGGCCATGGCAAGGCTGGCCTCGCACGTGGTCCTTAGGCCTCACACCCAAATATGGGCAAGGCTGGCCTCAACGCAGCCACGCCTCGCAATCTGGGCAAGGCCACCTCGCCCACGACCCTAGGCCTTGCCTAGTGGTCGGCGAGCCACTGTGAGAAAAAAAAGTAGGAAGAAAAGAAAAAATAAAAAATTCAAAAAAATAATTTAAAAAATTGCCACATCAGTATTGGCCTGTTGGCTGGTGTCGGTCGACATCCACGTCAGTGCCAGCCAGTTAAAATTCATCGAATGAACTGTATTGGCACAAATGTAAAAGGTTTAAGACTGATTTGGCAAAAAAAAAAGTTTAGGATTGAAAATGCACAATTGCAATAGGTTGATGACTTTTTTGATAATTTTCCTAAATTTTCTAAATTACATAAAGGAAGGGGCACACAAATATAATATTTGTAGGGATTTGTTTTTTCAAGAAAAGGATCAGAACACTCACTTGTGCCGTTGAGAGTTTGTTTCGGTCTCCCAAGGGTTTGATCAAAACAATTGCGTACAGAGCACGTGTCCTAATATATATTTGGGTTAATACCACGAAAAATTCTAAACTGGTATACATGTAATAAATTTACCCAAATTTAATTTTTGACCATCAAAGACTCCAAACTGGTACATTTGTGACAAATTTACACTCCGTTAGTTTCCGTTAAATTGGATTAATACCATGAAAAATCACAAACCGGCACCCCTGTGACAAACAAAGGGTAAAACCCCAGATGGGTACCCCCGTCAACTGCCACGCGTCATCCAACTTAGCAATTTGATAGTGAAATTTAATAAGAACTAACGGAGGGTAAATTTATCACAAGTGTACCGGTTTGGAATTTTTTGTGGTTAAAAAATTAATTTGAGGTAAATTTATCACAAATATATCAATTTGAGATTTTTCATGGTATTAACTATATATATTAAATTTGGCCCCATATATCTTTTCCTTTTAAGCCGCACCCAAACGAATGTGGACTTCGTGGGTTTTGTCGAGATCTTCTGGCCGCGACTTGAAGTATAAAAGAGATGCACAGAGAAGTTCTCTCTCGGAAGAACTGAAAGTTCTTGGTTCAGCCGTACGTAGAGGTCTAGGTTTGTACACTGGCTATTTGTGCTCGGAGTTTTACATTCAATTGAGTTGTTTAATTATAAATACTTTGAACTTGAGTGTAATCTAGGTGTAGAAAACACTCGAGCGTGTAAGCAAATATAATTTTGATTCTCCGATTATTTATGGATCATTTGCCGTTGGCTCTTCCCGTGGAGTAAGTATCGACACTCGAACCGAACCACGTAAATTTCTAGTGGTGATTTCGGATTGATTTAATTGCAAGATACTAACAGTTTTTGCGTTAAATTTACAACACCTACAATGATCCAACAAGATCCACAACCTCAATATGCAGCAGGGAAGCCAATTCGTTGGGTCACATTAATGAGCAAGAGTATTGTGAAATAATGGGACTCTGGCAGTGAAAGCAACCGTTCTCTGTGGAGGCCTTTGGACCAAACAATGACCGCAACTGGCAACTGTACTACTTACTCCTTAAATAGTTATCAGTTTCTTCCTGATGTATATGGGGTGTGGAGTTGCGTCTTTGGATCAACTCCGTATTGTGTGGTTAGAAACAGTTGATGTCGTCCTCAAAGTTGGTAGTGATTACAGACATGGTAGAGCGACCCGTCGAAATCGGTAACGAAGAAGGTTCGAGACCGGGCACATCATCTAAAGTTGAACGGGCTAAAAACGACTAGATCTCAGCTGAAAAGACAGATAATGCTAAGCAACTCATGACAATCGAAACAGTAATGACTAGCCTATTGAGATGTTTTTTCCACTATCTTGCAGAGAATCTTATATGGTTAAAGATTTATCTGCGATCTCATTATGTCATTGGAATTCAAAAATGGGAGAACGTATTAATTTTTCTGATTCAGCATGTAAAACGTGTTAATTCTCCACGACCATTATGTCCTCATGGTCGTGGAAACTCCTTCGACCCCCGTTCAGTTTAACCGATCAAGAGAGCCGAAGAGACGTAATGAAATGAGACTCTGAAGTGTCTAAAGAAAAGAGTCACCAAGTTATCATCTTACCACGCTCTCATCTCTGAAAAAATGGCAGTCTCGGGTCCCACGACCCTCCCTTGTACCAATATAAAAAGAAAGTAAGTGTCATATCGACATACAGGCACACAAGACACAACACACACCAGCAAAAAGCAGCAAACAAATTTGATCATGGAGGATCCGAGAATCAGTCCGGTGAAGCCGAGATTGGGCCGCGAAATCGTCCTCTTCCCACTTCCCTTGCAAGGCCACATAACTCCAATGCTTCAGCTTGCAAACCTCCTCTACTCTCGCGGCTTCTCCATCACCATAGTCCACACCCACTTCAACTCTCCTAAGTCCTCCAGCTACCCTCACTTCAACTTCCAACCGGTCCCGGACGGCTTGCTAGAGGGCCAGGCCTCGACCGTAGACTTCATAGCTCTCGTGACGCTGATGAACGTTACTTGCGTGGGGCCGTTCCGAGACTGCTTGGCCAAGCTGTTGTCTGATGCTCCGAAGGATCGGATTCCGTGCTGCTTGATAACTGACCCGGTGTGGCACTTCCCTCAGGCGGTTGCCGACGAGCTGAACGTCCCGAGGATGGTGCTGCGGACTAGCAGCATCTCCTCTTTTCTCGCTTTCTGCGCGTTGCCGCTCATGCAAGAGAAGGGTTATCTCCCGCTCCGAGGTAAGCTTCTTCCACATCTCCCCCCACATAAATCCCTAGACAAATGAACTCAGTTCGCTTATGATGTGTACTAGTTTTTACTGTGTCATATGTGACTGAGTTTAAATGACTATATAGCAAATTGGCAGGCCATAGATCAATTATTCTTCTGCAGAACACGAAATTTTAAGCCAGAGCATGATTCTTTCTGATGTACGAGTGGTCTCTCAGACTCTTTCAGTTTGCAGAATATCCGCTTATTAAGCCTTCAACCATCATCATATAAGTGTTTGAGCAAGCATAGGATGGTTATCTTCACATCCACTTGAATGTTCGAGGATTAACTATTTCCCCTGTTGAAGAAAGAAAAAAACACCAATTATTTGTTTCATAAAAAATTGGATGGTCATTTTCAATGGGGCCCAGTAGAAACATCATGAACATTGTCTTGATGCTCCACAGGTATAGAATCAACTTGCATCGGTGCAATCAGATTGTCCCCTCCACTTGTCAGATTTTGGTGAAAGCACATGTGTTGTTGGAAAAATTACCAAAAGCAGTGATAAAATTATTGCACTTGTGACAATTTAGTTCTAAACATTTTTTCGTTTATCAATTAAATTCGTTCAGCTAATTTTGATCGGAAATCGCTGACAGGAACGTCGACCGTTGACGACTGATGTTGACGTTAATAATTTTTAATATATTTTTTATTAATTCTTTTCTTTTTCCTTTTTCCCTTTTTTCTTTTTTCCTTCTTTACCCGACCTCGCCCCTTGGGCCCAGATCTAGACAAGATGGCCTTGCCCACAGTCGCGATGGTATGGGCGAGGCAGCCTTGTCGGCCGCGAGCCAGGCAACCTTGCCCAAATCTGGGTGTCATGGCCCTTGCCCACGACTGGTGAGGGCCCGACGACCCTCGCCAGCCTCAGTAAAAAAAAAAAGAGGAAAAGAAAAGAAAATAAAAAAAGGAAAATAAAAAATTTGAACAAAATTTTGAAAAAAAAAATTATCTACGTCAGCGTCGGTCATGCCACGTAGAATGACTGGAGTCCATGTCAGTGATTTTTTGCCAAAATTGACCAGATGGACTCAATTGGCAAAACGTGAAAAATTTTATGATTCAATTGTTACAATTAAAAGGTTTAAGACTGAATTGATAAAAGTGTAATAAATTTAATATTTTTTTGGTAATTTTACCTGTGCCGTGTTAACTCATTAAGTTGCGAGGTATCGCATCACACCTGACATTTCTACTGCCAGTCAAGAAATTGTAGAAGACGGACAAAACAAAATTCATATGCCCTTGTGCACGATTTGGCTTCAACATCTTGGTCTGTCGCCATTGGGCGTAAATATTTCATGAGATACAGTAATCATGACGAGACACTTTAATAGATTTTCGTATGCGGTTGAAATGCATTTCCACGTGAATCAAGATCTCACGTACTTGGGTGGAATAAGATGATCTGTCTGACTGTCATCATAAACTATTACGGTCTTTCTCATTTGTGTCGTTATCTCCGGCGTTACTGCTTGTCATTTTGCGAAGAAATAAGATGCTTCTTGGCTTCTTAGGCCATGTGATCGTGGGAGATGGAGAGTGCCACGTCAAAAATGCTTTTTCGCCCTTAGCTGATTTGTGAAAAACTGTAGAGCAACAGCTTTTGTGTTTCAGGAAGCAGACAAATGTATACTTAAAACAGCTTTAATGTGCCTTCGAGTTTTACTGTTTTCAGCATTTCCTTCCTCACAGATTCCCGGTTAGAGGAAGCAGTGCCCGAACTTCCTCCGCTCAAAGTGAAAGACCTTCACGTCATCAACTCAAAAGACCCCGAGGATGTCCTCAGGCTCATCATCGCCATGGCCGAAACCATGCTGGCCTCTTCCGGCCTCATCTTCAACACCTTCGAAGAGCTTGAACCGACCAAACTGGCCGAATGCCGCCAACGCTTCCCCGTCCCGATCTTCACGGTCGGCCCATTCCACAAGCAGTCCGTAGAGCCATCAAGCAGCTTGTTGCCTCAAGATAGGAGCTGCATTTCGTGGCTTGATAAGCAAGAAAAGCCCAAATCGGTCCTCTATGTGAGCTTCGGGAGCCTCTCAATACTCAGCGAGGCCCAATTTCTGGAAATAGCCTGGGGCCTTGTGAACAGCGGCCAGCACTTCCTTTGGGTGGTCCGGCCCGGGTCGGTCCACGGGTCGGAATGGCATGAGGCCCTGCCGAGCGGGTTCCTAGAGGGCCTGGACGGGAGGGGCCACATTGTGAGATGGGCCCCGCAGCAAGAGGTCCTCGCCCACCCCGTGGTCGGCGGATTCTGGACGCACAACGGGTGGAACTCGACGCTAGAGGCCATCTGCGAGGGCGTGCCGATGATGTGCATGCCGTTCTTCGGGGACCAGAGGGTGAATGCAAGGTACGTATGCAACGAGTGGAGAGTTGGATTGCATCTGGAATACAAGGTGGAGAGGAGAGAGATTGAGGATGCGATTAAGAGACTGATGGTGAGCGATGAGGGAGAGGAGATGAGGGAGAAAATGAAGGCTTTGAAGAGGAAGGTGGACGAGTGTCTCAAGGATGGTGGTTCTTCGTACCGGTCTCTTCAGAAATTGACCGAGTACTTAGGGCGCAAATGACAATATTTCCCTTCCCTGGCCCTATTTCTTGTTAAAAATTAAAAAATTTATTTTTTTTCCCGGACGAGTTTCTGAGCAAAAAGTAGGGTTTGATAACGACACAAAATTTTTGCTCCCAAAATAGAAATTTATTTGATAATGATGCAAAATTTATATCCCCGCCGGCGAGTGGCGGTGGCGACAGGCGACGGGTGACGGCGCATGCCCGGCGGCGGCGAACGGCCAACGAGCAGCGGTTGGCGAGCGGCAGTGGCAACAGGCGATGGTGGATGGCCGACGAGCTGCGGTGGGGGGCAGCAAGCGGCGGCGGATGGCCAACAAAAGGCGGCAGTGTCAGGCCCCGACCCTCGAGCACGCAACAACCCCTATTCACTTAGGTCATTTGCATACGACGTCCCAGGACTCATTACCGACCTTTTATTTTATCTTTCAATTATGCATACGGAAACGACAACAATTACCCAGTCATAACAATAAATAGCATGGATAATAATAACAATCAACAACAGTCATGCTAAAATGTCATTTTATTTATTTACTAGATTAACCCCAAGAAAACACATTTACAAGCCTTTCAAGGGCATCTTCCTTACATGCCTACCAAAAAGATATTGGGCTGGGGTCAATCTACTCCTTCCTAAAAGTAGGTCATCCTAAAAAGAATCGATCTTAGGCATATCCTTCAAGAACTATCAATATAGTGGTTCGGCGAGTCAAAATAGGGCAAGTCAGGGTCATGCTTCAACGGGTTGTGATCCAACGGGGTATACAGGATCTGGTTTGATCTCGGGGTTCTCTACTAACTCGTCAGGTGGATCAATGTCCATAGGATCCCAGATCTCCTGCCCAAGGCCCTCATCTGGAGGACCATCAAATCCCCCCAAAGGACCGTACAGGTCCTCGCCCTCACGAATGAAACATGCTTGGAACTGATGAGGGACCCACAAAGCTAGGCTCTCATCCACCCACACAGTAGATAGGTGGCGCTCAAAAAGATACGGCTTGCAGAGAAAACGATGGGTAGTAATAATACTATCAATATCCTGGGGCACCCCAAACCCCATCGGGTGATCCGTCATGCTAAGGCCTCGAAAAACAGTTAACAACAACAAATGAGATATAACTCTCAGCAAGTTAATGATCTAAGCCTCGTTTAGGAAGTTAACTCGTCTCGGATGCACCTAAAACAAGCAGTGATATAATGATGGCAGATCAATAGCAATGCAAACCCTTGCTTTGCCTTAGTTATACACAGTGTCAAGCAACTCAGCACAACATACACAAACACGCCATCACACAATCGCTGGCATTCTTACCTTGTCTTGGCATATGCTCTGCACGTTATAAATCATCATATGCCATAATAATGCAATAAGCATATAACATAATTATAACACATAACAACTTTCCATGCACGATGCACCCATGCATGTTCCGATTATTAAAATCATTCAGGGCCACGACACAACCCTACAGTTTGGTGGTCTTCCAACATGACTGACATCTATCACGGCCACTCAGAGCACGCCCGAAATTCTATCGGGGGTCTCATCACGGCCATTGAAGGCATGTCCGCAATCAGGTGGGGGTTTCATCGGCCATTTAAGGCACGCCAGCAATCAGGCGGGGGTAACAATTTATCATTATGTGATCACGCAAGCACCTAAACCACTCAAGCCAATTACATTTCTCCTCATTTAGCCAAAGCAGACGTGGTTGTGCTCACACATCAAAATACTTTAACTTTCATGCTTAAAAATGCAGTTATAAATTCACACGTGATCACATACACACAATTAAACCACCAAACTTTCCATGCTTCCCTTTTTAAACACCCTTGCCCTATTGAACTTATAAAACATGACAAATAAACCCAACACCCCGGGTTTTACTATTTATATATCCACAAAAACCCTTTTAAAAATTAAATAACAAGGTTTCACATGGGACAATTATTTTTCAGGGCAAAGCAGGCATTAAACAGCATAAAACGAGTATAATTCAATATTTAATTCAAGCAAAAAACACCCATACAAAATCCACTTATCGCCCTAATTGCGATAACTTATCATCCAATTAGTGATAGCTTATCGCCCAAATATTGATAGCTTATCGCCCCTTTGACGATAGCTTAACACCCTTTTTTCCGATAACTTATCGTTCTTTTGACGATAACTTATCATCATTTTGCTGATAGCTTATTTTCCTTTTACAATAGCTTATCATCATTTCCTCAATAGCCTATCGCCTATTTGGCGATAACTTATCACCAAAACTTCGATAGCTTATCGCCTAATTAGCGATAGCTTATCATCCAACTTTCCGATAACCTATTGCTAGTTGATAACCTATCAACTAATTAATCATCATTAATCACTAATCACCTAATTAACTTAATATAAACTAATCATAATCAAGTTTAACGTACTAATCAAGGGATTAGAACGTTAAATCACCTGTTAACAATTTTGACGACAAGGGCACGACGGTGGTGGCGAGGGCTACGCGTGGCTCGGTCCGGAAACGACACAAGGTGGTGACGACGGCATGGACAACAACTCAGCAGCTTCGGTGGGACTAGTTTGGCTTGCGATGGAGGCAAACTGACGAGGAAACGGCTCAGATGGATGGCACACGGCAAAGGGCCGGTCACGGCGCTCAGCGGGTGGTGGCGGTGGCTCCACGGTGGCAAAACAGCAGCCAAGGGGGCAGTGGGGCTGAGCTTGGCCGAAGGAAAGAAGAGGAGGGAGAGAGGAGGCGGAAAATGAGAAGGAAGAGAGAGAGAGAGAGAGAGAGAGAGAGAGAGAAATGAGAGACAAGAGAGAGAGTTTGGAAGATATTTTTTTCTTCCCCAAAGTCTCTACTCATCAATGCAACTCCCCCAAGTCTTCGCTCATCAATGCTGAATCTCCCTTTGTCTCTTTGCTCAATAATGCAAGAAGGGCATTTTGGTCATTTCACATTTTGGCACAAATTTCCCATTTTGCCCTTGGGCCAAAGTCAAGAGACGGGCCTTGGAACGAGCCCAATTGAATAGAAATGGATTTGAAAAGTTCGCGGGCTCAAATTGGGTTTAAATTTGCTATTGGGCTTGAAAATGGTAAATTGAGCTTATTGGGCCTCATTGGGCCCACTTGAACTTGTTTGGGCCCAAGTGGCCGAAGCACACTTTGGACGTGAGGCCCAATGGGCCTTCGCTCGGCCCACTTCCTCATGGACTCCAATTCTCGGCCCAAAATTTCATTTTCCGAGAATTTCGAGCAAACCGATAAATCGAAGGATTAACGAGGCAATGTTCAATAGATTAGTCTTGAAATCCTTGAAAGTTCGATACCCAAATTTGGATTCTAATTCATGGTCAAAATCAATCAATTGCAACTTTACTATATCTCAAACTAACGGGCGACTTTTAGGAGTTATGCGTATTCGACCCGTGATTGATTTGATATCAAACCACATTTAAGCTTTCTCGAATCATGGGTAATTTCGGTTGTTATGTAATTGTGAGGGGTCAATCGCTAGTTTCGAAGTACACGATCGTTTAGGTATTGGTTTAGGGTAGTTCGCAATCCATACAATGGTCAGGCGGAATCACTCGCGATCCAATTGTATACTATTGGTGAATCATTCTATAATCGTTCATTAATTAGTCTATAATAGCTCAAAATTGTCCCTCGTCAATCCTTATGGTCGAATTATCAATCCATAGTCAAGTTCTCAGGTCGTGTGTACTAAATTCCTTAACGACCTTTTCCTATTGGTTAGTCCTCTCATGAGTGATTAATTTAGAGCGAGATTTAACTAACAGTGCATCGATGAAATAACCATTTTATATATCTCGAAAATGGTCGAATTTCAGGATATCACAGGCAGACAGCCAGCGAGCGACGGTGGCAACGGGTGACAATGGAGGGCCGATAGGCGGCAGTGGGGGGCGGCGGACGGCTGGTGAAAGATGATAGACGGCTGGCAAAAGGCGGTGGCAACGGGCGACGGTGGAGGGCTAGCGAGCGACGGTGGGGGGCGGCGGGCGGCGGCGGACGGCTGGTGAACGACAAGTGGCAGTGGCGGTGGACAGCCGGCGAAAGGCTACGACGACGGACAGTCTGTTGGCGAGTGGTGGCAGGTGGCGGTAGCGGACGGTCGGTCGACTGGCGAGCGGTGGCTGGTGGCTGCAGACGGTCGGCAACGAGTGGACGGCGGTGAGGGGCAAGGGTGAATAATAAAAAAGAGTCGTTATTTCTGTTTCTGTTCTAGAAATATAAAAGTAAAAAATTTTAACTTCTCATTTCTGCTCCAAATCTATTTATAAGCCAAAATTTGTCTTAGAAATAAAAAAAAATGAAATTATTTTACTAAACGGATTTCTGTTCCGAACCTATTCTGAGGAACAAAAAAATAAAAAAATATAAAAAAAATATAATGATTATCATTCGCGCCCTTAGTCTAAAACCATTATCAGAATTAAGAATTAAAGAACGAACAGTAGAAAATGGGACCCACAAGAAAAGACAAAAGGGAGAAAACAAACCGGACATCCCAAACCAAATAAAAAAAGGGTTAATATCACGAAAAACCCTAAACTGGTACACTTGTGACAATTTTACCCAAAACTATTTTTTTTACCATAAAAAACCCCAAACTGGTACACTTGTGACAAATCTATCCTGAACTATTTTTTTGACCACCAAAAACCCCAAACTGGTATACATGTGACAATTTTACCCATAACTAATTTTTTAATATTATTTTTTATTTTTTGAATTTTTTTATTTTTTCTTTACTTTTTTTTTCCTTTCTCTTCAACCTCTGGGCGACCACGCCTCTGAGGTCGGCCCCGCCGGCCACTGGCGAGGCTCGACCTCACCGGCATTGGGCAAGGTTGGCCTCGCCTTGCAACGGCGAGGTCGAGCCACTCCAGATCTGGCGGGGGCCCGGCCCCGCCGGCCTCTGGCGAGGTCGAGCCTCGCCAACGGCCGACGGGACCAGGCCCCAGCCAAATCTGGCGAGGCTCGACCTCGCCGGCATTGGGCGAGGTCAGCCTCGCCGGCGTTGGGCGAGGTCGGCCTCGCCCTGCAACGGCGGGGCCGAGAACTCGCCTGCAGCGGGGGGCCGAGACCTCGCCACGAGATCCGGCGAGGGCTCGGCCTCGCCGGTGCGGCGAGGTCGGTCTCGCCGGCGTTGGGCGAGGTCGACCTCGCCCGCAGCGGTGAGGTCGAGCCTCGCCAAATCGGCGAGGGCTCGGCCCGCCGTTGCATGGCGGCCGACCTCGCCCAACGCCGGCGAGGCCGACCTCGCCCAATCTTGCGCGCGAGGTCGGCCTCGCCGCAACGGCGAGGTCGAGCCTCGCCAGCAGCCGGCGGGGCTGACCTCGCTGGCTTCCGCCTCTGGCCGGTCGCCGGACCGGACCGGCCAGAGGTTGAAGAGAAAGGAAAAAAAAAGTAAAGAAAAAATAAAAAAAACTTAATAAAAAAATTCGAAAAATAAAAAATAGTATTAAAAAATTAGTTTATGGTAAAATTGTCATAATTATACCAGTTTGGGGTTTTTGATGGTCAAAAAAATAGTTTGGGGTAAAATTGTCACAAATGTACCAGTTTAGGTATTAATCCATAAAAAAAAAAAGAGAACCCTAAAAATAAAAAATTGCGCGACCCACCCACAAATGTTAAGACCCGCGCGACGTCATCACCGGCCGCACGCGCGCTCGCTCGTGCTCCCAAGCCTAAGTCGCGCGCTCCGCGAGATGCCGCCGCCGCCGCCGCCGCTACTACCAGCAATCCCTCTCGTCGCGCCTCCGTAGCGCCGCCGCCGCGCACCACCACCCATCAAGAGCGGAGCAGAGGGCGGAGAGAGAGAGGGAGAGAGAGAGAGAAGAATGGAGATGACACTGACGAGAAGCCTCCGCCACCACCACCACCACCACCACCTCTCTCCTCCGCTCCCCAGAACCCTACGCCCCAAGACCCCCAACACCCTCTCCCTCCGGACCCCACGCCTCGCCGTCGCCGGTTCCTCCTCCTCCGCGTCCGCCGCCGCCTCCGCCGTCGCCGCCTCGCCCCCGGGCCAGTTCCGGGTCGACGTGCTCTCGGAGTCCCTCCCCTTCATCCAGAAGTTCCGGGGCAAGACCATCGTCGTCAAGTACGGCGGCGCCGCCATGAAGTCGGAGGCCCTCCGCGCCTCCGTCGTGAACGACCTCGTCCTCCTCGCCTGCGTCGGCCTCCGCCCCGTCCTCGTCCACGGGGGCGGCCCCGAGATCAACTCCTGGCTCGCCCGCCTCGGCATCGAGCCCGTCTTCCGCGACGGCCTCCGCGTCACCGACGCCTCCACCATGGAGATCGTCTCCATGGTCCTCGTCGGGAAGGTGAACAAGCACCTCGTCTCGCTCATCAACAGGGCGGGGGCCACCGCCGTCGGGCTCTCGGGCATGGACGGGTGCCTCCTCACCGCCCGCCCGGCCCCGAACGCTGCCCAATTGGGGTTCGTCGGGGAGGTGGCCTCCGTCGACCCCACCGTGCTACGACCCCTTACGGACAGTGGCCACATTCCCGTGATTGCATCCGTGGCGGCCGACAAGGACGGGCAGTCGTATAACATCAATGCCGACACGGTGGCAGGTGAGCTGGCGGCTGCATTGGGTGCAGAGAAGCTGATTTTGTTGACAGATGTCGCGGGGATTCTTCGGGACCGGAACGATCCCGGTAGCTTGGTGAAGGAGATTGATATAAAGGGGGTGAGGAAGATGATAGAGAACGGGTTGGTTGCGGGAGGGATGATTCCGAAGGTCAATTGCTGCGTGAGGTCGTTGGCGCAGGGCGTGAGGACGACGAGTATAATCGATGGAAGGGTCCCGCATTCGTTGCTCCTCGAGATCATGACGGATGTAGGAGCTGGAACCATGATCACCGGCTAAAAGACGTGACGATGACGGTTATCTTCAGGCTCGGATGAATTGCAATTGAGTAAGTAGCTCTGTTGAGTTTTAACTTAACTTCTCTGTACGAGTGTTTGATGAATCAATCGGTTGTTTCGTGTGATTCTTGGTCTAGGAAGAAAGAAGCCAATGGCTTTTGTTGTCTGTTGTAGAACTGTGGATGGGATAATATATTCCCCTCTCCTGGAAGTTTTTTTTCGGAAAAGTATCATTTTGATGTGGCTAAACTTAAGACAGCCATTTGAAGTTGAGAAAACGTGTCGTATGTCCCGCTCTTTTGCCTTTTCTTCTGAGGATGGCCCCGGCTTTTGTAGTTGTAGTTGACTTTTAACGGTCAGAATGCTTATAGGTGATGTCCAGATATTACTTTGCCAGTCGGCTAAAATCTTAGTTCTGGGTTAATGAATCTGCTTCTGAACCTGAAGCAAGATTGATTTTTGCCCCGTTTGGAAGTGTTAGCAATATTTCTTGATCACTTGAGTCATAGCAGCTGTTTGAACATCATTAACGGAATTCAGTTTCTATGCATGACCAGTGTTGCAAACATCAGGGCAAATCTTTACACCTGCTTAGAGGGGCAAAGCAGAGCACAATCAACAGTTCTACTCCTAGTGTTTCGTGGGAGAAAACCTGTCGTATTTGCTGATTTTCATTCAAAACTTTATTACTGAGCAGTTGGGTCCAATTACTTCCTTTTTTCATGGGATCCTTACCAGTAATGGCCTTCGGATTTAGATTTAGAAGGGGAGCCTTGGGTGTCAGGAAAATTTCAAGAGGGATGACTAACTACAATCTTATTTCAAATTACGCGCACACAACACGGACACACACCCACACAAACACACAGAGAGCCTTCCCTTCTGGTTTTCTTTAAGTGAAAATGAGCAAAAGGAACTAACTTTTGTGGAGATCTGATGCACTTAGATATATCATGCTTTCTGCTGAGTGCTTCTATTGATGGTCATTCAAGTCATAGAATGAAACACCTGGAATCAAATGGAATGTGTCTGTCTCTGTCTCTCTCTCTCTCTCTTTGTGGGCGTGCGCATGCTCACAATAATATACTTTATACAGATGTCCCTCTTTTAAGTTTTTTGAATAACATGGAGCCCCCCTCTCGAGTCTTAACCAAGAAAAAAGTTCAAATTCGAATCCTAGGTCCATCACCTTATTAGATTTCATTTTCTTGGTGATCTCAATAGATCCATTGCAGTTGCAGACTTTGATAATTTGTGATGCTGATATGGAATGGCTGTGTCAAATAAAAGAGCTTTGTGCTGTATTGTACTTCAAAAAAGGAAAAAAAAAAAAAACTCATGTTGCCTCTTTGGTATGTTAATAATTTTTAGAGCTCATGATTTAGCACTTTCTATTATCTGCAGGTTCATTTTTGTGGCACTGATGTGATTTTAGAACCTTCATGATTCCAGCCATTTGCAAAGTAGGAAGCTTTTCCAACGAGATAAGTTATGCACACTAGAACATATATGGCTTGTAAGGGAGTGATAATGCAATTTATGCTTGAAAGCTTTTTGAATCATAAGCCAGAGAATGAAAATCTCTGCTTGTTGTTGGATGACTGTTAATTATGGGAGGCAAATCAATTCGAATGATTTTCATGGATCTTTTTCTCTAGAGTCGGTTAATAAGCTAAGGAGCAATCTTAGACCGCATCTTGTTAGCATTAATTGTCATAGAAGAAAGCTTAAATGCTTTATGCTTCTACGTTCTTGTCTTTCTCCAAATGATCTTCAAAGCCCTTTCTATTTTTCATTTTTAAAGGGACTTTAGAGTTTTGGTATTGTACGGAACAGAGGTGGAATGACTGTAAACATGCATTATTCACTCTGCTTTCCTCACTTCCTTACATGACCTCGTGGAGGTGATGGTCAATGTACTTTGTATTTCCCTTTTGATTGATTTGTGTTTGTAGACACTTGTGCATCTCAAAGGCGGAAAAAAGCAGATTCCCACATTATTTTTTCGGTCACAAGTGTTCAACTACAAATTTTTTTGGGGCCATCGTATTCAAATGCTTGTGTAGCGACTCCATCACTTCAGGAATTAGGACTTTGGGACTTGACTAAGTTTGGCTGCTGTTGATCGGCTTCAGCCGAACCGAACCTCTGATTTGTATGTTTTCATCAGATGGTGTCACAAACTTGCGACTTTACTTACTAACACAGAAGAAATCCCAGATAGTCAGCCTCCTCTCTCTCTCTTCCCCCTCCCCGGCCCTTCACAGTCCATGTTTCGCCCCCGCTGCAATTGCCGCCTGCATCGACGCCTGACCCACTTCTCTGCCGCATGGGATGGGGGTTGCCGTGGGCTTGCCCTAGGACACTCCCTTGCAAAACGCCCAGGCTCACCACACTTAAAGCACTCTCCACCTCCACCTCCACCTCCACCTCCACCTCCATGTCTAACACCATAGTCCCGATTAGGGCCGCAATCACGACCACGATCACGACTGCGATCACCATCTCGGTCTCTACCCAAACCTTGAGGCTGAGCTTTTTCCAAAATGATATTTCTCCCATCCAATTCTATCCCATTCATAGCCTCATTTGCCTCATCCATTGCTTGCTTCCCATCAACAGTTGCAAAACCAAATCAACAGGAGCGTCCAGAACTCCTGCATTAAAAATATTCTTCACAGAGTTATTTTGTATTATATGACAGGTACAATTACAGATATTATGCTCAACTCTGCTGCTCAAAGACCCCACTTTCACATTTCAAAAACTAACAATTTTCATATTCTCATTCTTTTTTTTTAGTGGATTTCAAGTTGCATCTCCCGCTCACACATATTTCTTGAATTACCCCATCCTCAACTAGGGATTTTACATTCTGGGTGTAGATCTCAGGCGTGCACGAGGGAAAACAGGTCAATTTAGGTTGGGAAGATGCACGATGTAGTTTCGAAATGTGAGGAGGGTATTTGATGTGAAGAGCAAAATTGACGATGGTTTTTGCAATTACGCTTCTATGATGTTAACATGCTTCCTTCATCACCACAATATAATATCAAGGATAGTAATGATACCAAATGAATGTTCATGAAATTGCAGCAATGAAGCATCTCATGTTACAAAAATTGAGAAGCTTAGGTTTCTAGAGTTAATTGATCCTAAGCATACAAACTAACCATAATGCTAGAGCAGTTGTTGCCCATACTCACTGAACTAGACCTTACCGATCAAATTACAAAATACAGGGGACAGTGGAAGTAAACCTGCTGTATTTGCTGTATCACATGATGATGGCATTCTGTAGCTTGTTAAATCCCCAAAATCTCAATGAGCAACAGAGATTGCACCTCCATGTCGAGCGCAGTGGAAGTAAGAATTTGTGGACTAACCTCAATGGCCAACAGAGATTCAAAAAGCCAAGGCTGACCAATGACGCGAAACTCGAGTCAAGATGACACAGAAAAGGTATAGTTATTTCAAGCACCATGTTGGACTAAGGTATAGTTACCTTACCTTTGAGAATAGAATAGCAAACACTCTTCACGAATTACAGTAAAGACAAAAGCAATGGTAAATTCACTTGATTTTCTAAAATTCTTCTTCACACTTGCAGCACATCCCCCACAAGTCATTTCCACATAATAACATTTCACATAAAGGGCGATAGACAGAGAGAGAGAGAGAGAGAGGGGCTTACTCCGACGTCGAGAATTAGGACATCAGAGAAGACAACTGAGGCCTTCTCGGCCCCATCCACGACCGATTTTGCCTTCCCATCCTCACCGTCAACTCCACCGCCTCCTCCTCTGCCGCCAATACTGCCGCCGCCGCCATGTTAGCCGAAGGCACCAAAATGAGCAGCGGAGCTCGAAACGCACTGCAAACAATACCTCGCGGAAGCCGGAGGAGACAAAGACAAGACCAAAGCGAGGTTCGGACTGCAGATGCGATCAGCGTAAATGCAGCAGAGTCTGTGGGCGACGACCCGAGACGGGAGGCAGTGTCGTTGCATAGACCTGGCGACGTAGCAGTGGAGGCGGAAGACGAAGGGGTTGAGGGAGGATGGAGTAGAGAGAGAGAGAGAGAGAGAGAGAGAGAGAGAGAGAGAGAGAGAGTTTTGGACATGGTTGACTCCGTCGATGCTCGTCCCCTCTCTCTCTCTCTCTCTCTGCCCGCCTCTCAGTCTAAGCAGCCACCGGACGGAAGCATGGAGATGAACATGGTCACACACTGATGGTGTCAATAGATCGACCTGTTTAAAAACATCGATTATAAAAGAAATGCAAAATTCAATACATGATAATTATCTAGGATTGGTAATGTTCAATACATATGGTATTTATTTATAAAATAAGTGAGAAAACATTTAATAAGTTGATTGTTTTTATCAACGAGATACTTCTCACATACCGCCGAACAGGGTAGCCCGGTATAAAAGAGTTTATCACAATCAAGCAATGTTATGAAAGAAATCATGGCTCGAAGTGTTTATTTACTTACGGGTGGTTTGAAAAGTCAGGACTGAAATCCAATATTCCGTGACAAGTACGAGACCTAATGTCCATAGGGGTAACCACTGATTGCCTATTTTCACCTTTTTATCGATAAAAGAAATTACTATCACACATTTAAGTTTATTAAAGTCTGCATAAATTATCTAATATTTGAATTTCGATGTCAAGGTGATCAGTAACTTACCGATTTGCATTTAAATTTTATGTAAGTTACCAAAATTTACAGATTGTTTGATAACTCGATTAAGTCTTGAAAACTAAAATATTTAGAACTCAATAAAATTAAACACATGTGATACTCATGACTAGTTTAAGCTTAACGGGTTTAATTAAGTCAGAAAATTTCTAGGTAAGGAAAGGCCACTAAATTTATTTAATAGAAAAAGATAATTATTGGCACAAGAATCATGATAATTATTTGGGTTAATACCCAAAAAAACCCCCAAACTAATACACATGTCACAAATTTACCCTAAACTAATTTTTTTACCAGCAAAAACCCCAAATTGGTACATCTGTGACAAGTTTACTCTCCATTAGATTTCGTTAAATTTTACCATCAAATTACTGAGTTGGATGACACGTGGCAGTGACGGGTGTACCAGTTTAGGGTTTTACCCACCTGTTTGTCACAAATTTACCAGTTTGTTATTTTTCTTGGTATTAATCTAATATAATTGAGAATAAATTTGTCACAAGTGTACCAGTTTAGGGTTTTTTATGGTAAAAAAATTAGTTTTGGGTAAATTTGTCATATATGTACCAGTTTTGAATTTTTTGTGATCAAAAAATTAGTTTGGAATAAATTTGTCACAGTGTATCAGTTTGAGGTTTTTCGTGGTATTAACCCTAATTATTTTGCAAAAACTTATTAAAAGTGCTCCTGATTAATTAATAAACTAGTATTATTTGGTATCCAATATTCAATTATTATTAAAATATTTTATCTTCATTTTCAACATCAGTAAAATTGAAAACTAAATGCTCTTGAAAAATTGAGGGCCTTGATGGCTTACTCTCAAATCAATAATGAGTCGAAAGAAGATAAATATTTGGGAAGAATAATTGAAATGTATTTCAAGATTTTTTTTATTATTTCCTTTGTTGGAAGATTACGCTTAAGAATAATATACTTGCTTTTTATCCATCCCTAAGTTTAAATTTGAATGTACTAAATTATAGACGCTTGCGGATGAAAAATTTCAAAACTAATGCTAATCGGACCAATATAGGCCATGTGGCCACGGGACAATCATATAGGTAAAGTTTTCCATGTGGCGATTACAAAAGCGAATATTCTATCGGCTCCGGCTTTATCTATAGATATAAGAAGAACAAATATTGATATATGTAATTACATATTCCTTTTCATATGCTTTAATAAAATTTAAATATTATTCAACTTTTATACGAAAGTGGGAACCCGGAACCTGAGAACCTGACCAGTGGGAATCTGTAGGTTCCAGGTTCCAAGGTATGTAGGGTAGGTTCTAGGTTCCAAAAATTTGAGAACCTATCTCGATAGGTAAGTTCCAGATTCTAGGTAGGTGGAACCTGGAACCTGAAACCTGAACAAGTTTTTTTGTTTTTTCTTGGTCTATGTCTTCGCGTGATCCTACAGTGTTTCATGGCGTTAGATGATGAGTGTATAATCTGGAACCACTAATATGAGCTTTCATTTTATGACTTGTTAATGTTTCATATTTTCGAGTGTCCAAATATAAATTATGGTTGATGGATTATAGTAGAAAATAGTGGTTGTTAAAGATGATGATTCACTGCAATTATTCAATTAATAATACAGATGGAACCTGGGTAGACCCTGAAACCGACCTTCGAACCTGTAATAGGGTAGGTTTCAAGTTTCAAAAAATGAGGAATCTATTATCATGGGTGGAACCTATACGGAACATGGAACCGTTCACCCCTAGTATTGATTCATGCAATAACTTCTCATTTTAATTATATTTATTTAAACTGTAATGATAGGAAAACTAGTCTTTTGTATTCTCTTTAGTGAACGACAAGCTTGTTTAGTATTGTTGCGTTCATTTTCATTTTGTTTAACTAAAAATGGAAAAAAAAAAAAAAAGAACCTACTAGACCTTAGAACCTACCCTGGAACGTGTGACAGGGTAGATTACAGGTTCCAAATTCTGACGGATAAGTTTCACGCTCCAAAAAATGAGGAATCTGTACCCGAGGGTAGGTTTCAAGTTCCATGTGGAACCTGTAA